TAAACTATTTTGAAACAAAATTGATAGTTTATAGATCATTCTAAAATAAAACATTACTTATAAATTAACTGAAATATATCACATATTTAATAAACTATTTATTAAATTTAGCTATTATATAATTAAATGATTTTCAAAGTTATATTAAGTTAGAAATTTGATCATATTATCAATTTTTACCAAATGGATATTTTCACGTGATTTAAGTAAAGAAAAAAATAAGTTTTTTTTATTAATTAGCATGTCACATCAATTAAAACTTAATAAAGGGATTGAAAATGAGTTAGATTTTAAACTTTAAATATAAAAAAAGATTTTTTTAATATAGAGACTAAAAATTAGTTTTTTTTATAGTAAATTGACCAAAAAAAATATTTAATGAAATATTTTATTTTTAAAGTATGAATTAAAATATTTTTTATTTTTTTATAGTGTTTTATTTAAATAATATAATTTAAAATAATTTTCTCTTAATCTTTAAGGTAAAGTGAATAAACACAGTAACTTTTTTTTTTAATATATTTTGCAAGGAACGGGTTTCGAACCTGTTCGGAGGGAATGCACTAGTGGCTGAGGCCACTAGGCCTCAAGGGCCAGGTGCAACACAGTAACTTTTTTAAAAATATGTTTTATCTTTTTAAATATAGTTTCAATATCTTGCAAAGAAATTAATTAATGTTTGATTTATAAATGTCAATCTCCACTAATTTTTAGCATATATGGTAGGGCTATTTAATAAAAGATAGCTCTCTAATTTCTAACCAATTATCATCCACCTAATAATTATAATTTAAAACTAAAACTTTTAATACATAGAGACTAAAGTTCTTAATACTAGGATTTATATAAAGAAATACATTTTTTTACGTATGTTTGATTTTTTTTTTTTTTTTACTGTTAGAGTGCTGATAGATTAACTTCCACGCACCTGGAGGAATTTAAAGCACTGATGGAGCAAAAGAGAGGCCTGAGGGGGCATAGGTCCCCTAAACTTTTATGAAATAAAAACTTTGAGCCATTAAGTTGTATTTTTATATTTCAATCCTTGTTTATTTCATACATTTTAATCATTTTTTAACCCATATTTTTTTCAAAGATTAGTTTTTAGTGTTTATGAGAAAGTTGAAGAAAAATAAAGATAAAATGAAATATGATTAAAAATGAAGATTAATTGAACGTAAAAGTTTTCAACATCTCTACAAAATAATTATTTATTAATATCTTTTTGTTTTCATTAATACCCTTTTATTCTTTTTTTTATTAGTATTTTTCTATTCAATATATGCTTATTTTATCTCTTAATTGATGTATATAATGCTATGTCATTAACTAATATTAGTTTATTGTTAAAGACTGATAAATCTTATTTTAGAATAATTTTCTTTTCTATTAAATTTTCATTTTTATTGACTTTTTAATTAATGTATAGACACATGGTTTTTTTTGGTCAAAATTTCATTCTACCCCCTAAAAAAATTTCTAACTTTGTCGCTAATTTTAAGGACACTCTGAGATGGGCCTAATTTATTTCAAAAAATTAATTTACTTTAATATTAATCTAAAATTAGAATTCTATTTTTTTTGTTATCTTTGTTGCATAATGGAAGGCAACTATTTTTCATTTTTTATTTCACCCCACTCACATATCATGCAACTCAAATTCAGAATTTTTTACTTTTAACGAAAAGAAATGACTACTAAATTATTTAAGTTGTTAACAAAACTTGAATTCTACTTTTAATTTTTTGAAAGGCTCAAAAACTTGAATTCTATATTTAATTTACAGAACAACAATACTTTCTTGTGGATTCCGTTCTTCGGGTTTCATGAACCCTGCGGGTTCAGCATGTATGAGTTGCACATTCTCGGTTTCTTTGCTAATTAATATCAGTTGGGTTTGAACTGTGGGCCACTAACAATTGCAGTCAGTTGGGCCCGTAAGTGCACACATAATTCGTTGTTCTTTCTACAATTCAATTGATAAGAATATTATTTAATTTATTTTTGTGTTTAGTAAAATTTCCTCTCAACAAAATTCCCCAGTTGTTCTGAAAAGAGGCCACTCGTACAGTTGGTCACATGACCAGTGCTCTAATTGTTAGCTTCTCCCGTCTCCTCTACCAATCTCCAAAAGCTAGCCCTGTTTCCAAAAAAAAAAAAAAATCAATTTGGTTTGAGTTCCTCCCCCCCCCCCCTCCCCCTTTTCTTTTTTTGGAAAATTGGGGTGATAATGAAGGATTTACATTAAAGCACAAGGCCATGAAAGATAAGTAACAAATAGTCCTCCAATTTGACTATAATTATGATAAAGCCCACTATTTGTAAAAAACGAAAGACAGGTCTTCTATTTACTTGCCATCCAAACTGTGTTATTGAAATGATAAAATGGAGATACAAAAAGATTAATATAAAAACTTAAACAGATGTCCTTTCAAAAATTGAACATTAAAAAGATGTCACGAAAGGAAATGGCTACTGTCACAAATGAAATTTTTAGAAATGTTAATTCAGAAAACTTGTAAATCAGGTGAATTTATAGTTTTTTTTTTAACCAAATTTTACAAATTCTTCATCATATTTATGGCTTTTGGTTTGGTTTTAACAATTTCATTTGTGACAATAACTATTCTTCGTTACGTTGATGATTTGTCATTGATCAGGCTCTTTCCCTTTCTTTTCCAAAGAACATCACCTAGGTCCTTGCTTTCTTCTTTCGTTCCTTATCTTTGTTCCTCCTTTTTTGTTCTTCTACCATTATCATTTTTCTTTGTAGATCAGATTTGGGCGAAAATTCATTTCCTGTTAAAGCTTTGGGAGTTAATTAACCTTCTCCTCATCCAGGGTTTCTAACCCTGGTCCCTTAAGCCATGAGAGTTTTTTCCTTGGGAAACTCTCCCCTTCGCTAAAACCCGAGGAGGATCTTAGTTATATGACAAGGGGCCAACTTTGGAAATCATTAAAATATTATTAATTTGGCCTCCAAAAAGATTCCTTTTAATCGATTGGCCCCAAACAAAATTTTGACCCTTCCTCTAATTTTAGTCGAGCACCATCTCTGCTAAAACCTACAAAGTCAGTTCGGGTACCCTAGGCCGGAAAAATTTTTAAATAGGTGGGAAAATGCACAGGCCCTACAATAAAGGAGAACTCATCAAGTTTGGGTCACAAGAAAAGGCCCAAAAATAGATTTTGGTGGGTATAACTTTTTATCGTTTTAAGAAATGAGAAAAGGAAAACTCATCTTAGAATTAAAAATATCACAATATTTAATAACAATCATTAATATTATAAAAAACTCACATTTAGTTATTAAATTATTAGTTATTAAACTTTTATTTTTTTATAAGTTAGAATTAGTAATAAAATTTAAACTGTTAATAAAACCCTTATCACTAATATTCTTAATGACAAATTTGACATTATTACAAAAAAGAATTTTATAGTGATAGAAAAAATCAACATTATTAACGGGTTATTTATAACTATTTTATTCATCACATAAGTTACAATGTAGTGACAAAAAAAAAAAAATACATCACAAATACAATTGGGTATCTGTGATGAAATATTTAGTCATTAATTATTTAAGTCAATATTGAACAAAAATGGATACTTTTGTCATTACAACATACATTTATAACAAAACAATTGTCACTAATGTAATATCCATGTCACCAATTATTTAAACTAATATTAAGCCAAGAGGGTATTTGTGTACTTATAACATATATTTTTTACCAAAAAAAATTTTGTCACAAAAAGTGTATAACACAACTAATTTTAGTACCAAAAGATACTTTATAGCTAATATCTAAAAAAATAAAATTTCGATAATAAATAAATTTAACTACAATAGTACTTTTCAATAAAAAATACAATAGTACTTTGGTTTTACAAATATTAAATTAGAATAATCAATTAATAATAATTAATTTTAAATATGTCCTTTAGTCAAATTACATAATTAACTAATATAAAAAAAATAATATATAAATTAAAAAAATTTATAAATTGGGTGAAACTTCCGCTTCATTTTTGTCTTTGATGTGGTTTATTTAAATGTCATCCATAAATAAGGTATATCACATATTGTTTGTTTACAAGGACTGTGTATCCTGAATTCATTATTTTCCACCAAAATTACCTTCCTAGCTAACTCATGTGGATGCAGTCATGTGCAAGTGTCATCTTGTTCCCCATTATGTCTTGTATGTATGCCAAGTGCTCGTGACAGGTAACAAAGTGCTAATTTCCTAAATTAGAATTAAGTGTGCAACTCTTTTCTTCTACCTAAATAATGTCTCTAACTTGAAAAATATGTCGAAACACTTGAATGAAGACAAATAAGACAAATAAGTATACTGATAAAGAAAAATATCAACTCAACCTCACTTAGGCAATTTAACAAACATATGGTGGTGGACATGATAAAGTGCACTTGAAGCCTTCTGGCCTTTGTTGTATTAGCCCCACAAATTTAAAAAAGAAGTACACTACCTTTGAAATCTAATCCGAGAAAGGCCTTAAAAATAAAATAAATGATGAATCAAAGCATATGGCAAGAAAATTATAATAAGAGGTTTGAAAGAAGAAGGTAAAAACTATTGATGGTCAGACACAATATATAAATTAAACAAGATTAATATTCTCATACCTTTTGTATGGCTCTTTAAACTTGTTAACAGCTTCTTAGATTTTAAGTAATTAGTATTAGGGTTTTTAATTTAGTATTATATATATTCTTTAACTTTAAGAAGTTTAGATGTAATAGAAATGTTAAACTAGAACAAATATTTCGCATTGGTTATCTTTAGAATTTGTTTAAAATTTGTACTTATCTAGTAATAAAATGATAAATTAAATATACTTAAAAAAGAGTAAATAGGAATTATAAATATATATTATGTGGATAAATTTTGTTGAATTTAATTATTTTAATGTATACAATTGACATTTTTTTAAGTCAAAATAAGTTTTAATTCTAAATATTATTCTACCAGAAAACCCCCTCCTCATCAAGAAATGATTTACTTAAATTTAATAATTTTACAATTAACATTATCAAAATTTTCTCACGTCCCATTTTATTTTATTCGTAAATTTTGTTAAATTTAATAATTCAAATATTAAAAATTGATATTATCTAATTACAATTAAATTGGTGTAATATGTTATTTATAAAAGAAATGTTAATATTTGACATATACCATTACCGAATATAAAGAGCAGGTGGCGTTACTTCTATCACAAATTTCCGCAAATTCCTAATGCAGGGTGTCGACACTATCCTAGTATCGATACCTAACCCGTGTTTTTAGGGCCCCTTTGCAATTTCTTTACTGGTAAACTAGTAAATAGGGTCCTTAATCTTTTACTTTATGAATACTTTGAGTCCAAAACTTTTAACTTATTCAATTTTGCTTAGGATTTTAACTTTTCTTGCTCTTAAACTTTTAAAATGTTTTAACTTAAGTCCCTAAACTTAAGTTATTATGCAATCAAGTCTTTTCTCATAAAAATAATTATATGCTTAAAATGAAAATTTCAATTTTTTTTGTTATTAAAATATAATATGGGTGAAAATGGATGAAGTCAATTAATAATAATCGAAATCCGTTACAATTATGATAAGTTATAGTGATTACTTTTGTAATCGGAAGCATATATGCTATATGTAACCATTTTTTAGAGATCATCTATTTCATCATCATTGGACCTGTAGGTATTTGTGACCAGTACTTAAAATGTGTCATAATTGTGATGAGATATAGTGATAATTTTCATCCTCACAAGCCTTTATTATCTTATCACGCCCCAAAACCTAAATTCGAGGCGCGACAGACGTCGTGCACTCGTGAGACGAGTCCCACAAATGCACAAGGCTCGGAACCTATCAAACCACAATCTGATACCATCAAAATCTGAAGATCAAATCTTTAAAATTTCTCCGATATCATAAATCTCCAAATGCACTCTAGCTTACAAAATCACGATTTATTTCTAAAATCTATATCAATCTCGAAATGGCTAGCTTTCTAACTCGTCACTTCCCGTGGTTTCCCCGTCCTCGGTTTCATTTCCTGAAATGGTGGACAAGGAAAAACTATGAGATAAACTTAGTAAGTAAAATATGGATTGCCCTTAATTAAACTTATAGCATGCCAACATGTGCAATCACGAAAAACGGATACAATACGGGAACGAAATAGACGTCTCCTCTATAGGTCATGGCCAGCGTCTAACACCCACTGACAGGCGCACTGTTTGCTGGTGTATAATCCCCACAAGCAGGGTCACTGTTTGCTGGTGTATAACCCCCACAAGCAGGGTCACGAATAACATATCGACATGTGCCGACATGTGCTAGCGTTTAACTCCCACTAGCAGGATTACAGAAACATATCGACATGTGCCGACATGTGCTAGCGTTTATAAACTCCCCCACTAGCAGGGTCACTAATAACATGACCACATCGGAGACAAAACAAGCAGAAGTTAACAGAAAAATCATACTTTACCAATCACTTTCAAATCACTTTCAGATCATCAGGACAATCACTTAAATTTCAAGTAGGCATACTCAATTTAGTGAAAAGCATAAAACATTTCACTTCAAACGGGTTTAGTCTCGCCACCACTTCAAAAACAAATCAAAACATGCTTTTAAAACAGTACGGGCATTACCATAAATTACTTACCTCACTCCGCAAAACCGAGCACTCAAGTCACGTACTAAACTGACAGAACGATCAAGAATCCACGAATTAATTACTGGACTATCACAAATTCAAACTGAAATCATCATTAGGATCATCCCCTAATCACAATGCTATTTCCTATCAATCTCCACATTATCAGATATCTCCAATTTCGTTCTTATATCACAAACTAATCATTTAAATCTCCGTTAATCGTTGAATCTCGGGGTGTGAACAGTGTTCTGTGAACAGTACCCATGAACAGTACCCATGAACAGTAACTGCACTTCCAAAATTGGCCAAAACACTAGCTAATTCACGGGATTTTCTCCAAAAATCACACAGTAGTCAATTAACACTCAATCACATAAATCCCACGTCAATTAAGCTCAATCATGGTCCTAAAGCTATCAAATTCTTCCCCATTTTTCTAGCAAAATTCGGACATACACAGCCAGCAAACTAAATGAACAATTTAAGCCTTAAAAGGCTGTCACATACCATAATTCTCTAGCTAAAACAGGAGCTGCAGATTGGGGAAAGGCCGGCGGCATGGAAGAAGAAAGCTCACGGGAAATCTATCAAAATTCTGGAGAAACAACACATTTAACATGAACCCAAGCTAATTTAAGGCTAAAACAAAGGGATTCATGGCTAGATCTTACCAGAAAAAGGCCCAAAATCTCCCACCCACATAGCAGCCGGCGGACAGGGGAGAAGAGCAGAGCAGAACCGGGATTTTCTGGGTTGAGAGGGAAGATTCTAAGCCGCAAATCTTGTGATTTAACAAGAAAAGAAGAGGAAAATTCAAGCCTTTTGCCGAATTTCTCAAGAGGAGTGCGTCGGTGGCTGGAGGGGGGCTTGTCGGGTGCAGGGGAGAAGAAAGAAGAGCAGATGCGCGGATAAGGAAGAAGAAAAAGAAAGAACAACTCAGCCATCCCTATCCTAATTTCCTTTCTTTTTAAGTCCCTCAAGTTTGGACATTTTGATCATTAAGCCCCAAAACACTATTTTCTCACACAAAGGTCCTTAACTTAATGCTAAAATATCACAAAATTTTGGGGTATTACATATCTTATGATTGTTTTTAAGTGATGAAATATCTTTTAGTGATGATTTTTTTTCTATTGCTGAACATATAGGTATCTATGACCAATATTTATAAATCGATATAATTGTAATGAATTGTAGTGGTGCATTTTTTCATTACAAGCCCATATTTTCTTTATGACCATGTGACAGTGATGAAATATATTTTTAATAATAATTTTTTTTTCATCATCATTGAACATGTGTGTATTTGTGATTAATTTTTAAATTCTGTCACAATTGTAGTGAGTTATAATGATAGTTTCAGAATTTGTCACAAATTTTCGTCACTAAAATCCCTTTCTCTTGTAGTATCAATATGTAGGTATATGAGTTTTAACTTTATCAAATGTATCTGTTTACACCATAAATTGCAAGACTTAAGATTATGCCATATGCCAATTTATTTTAAATGGTTGGAAGAGATTAAGCCACATCAGATATGTTGTTCTAGGGCCTTTGACAAAACAGATGCCACATAATTTTTTAAAAAAAAAAAAGGAAGGAGAAGGTTGAAAAGATGAGGTTTATCAAGTAGATGCCCACTTGAGTCATAGTCAAATTGCTTTAGCTACTTTTTAGGAGTTTGTTTCAACTAAGGTTATGAGCTAGCATATAACATAGATAGATGGCCAAGTCTGGATGGAGAATTGACTCAGCTATTGAGGTGTCCATCTTTTTCAAGAAGCCACCCATGTTTGTGTAACTGTTTGGTAATAGGGAACTATAGGCGGGGAAGAGACAAACAAAAGGAAACTTTCTAATTATTCAACACATGGTTAGCCCTACACACACAACTTGTTAAGTTTTCAATTCTCTAGTTCTATAGCAATTGCTCACTTTAGCTTACAGATTTTGGTTTTCAACATGCATTCTAGTAGTTTTAGGTTGATTTTAGCATTCAAATAGCCAAATTAGTTCGTGTAGTTGCTTCTATGATTTCCTTTCATGTAACGAACATCAAGCTTTTCAATTTCTACAAGGCACTATTCTTTTTCTGATTGATATTAGTTTAATGTTTACGATAAGGAGTGTTTCTCCAAATGATTCCTTATATGACGTTCATGCTTCTTCTTAATTTTTGGCATGTTAATTTAATCTCTGTTTATATTAGGTTCATGATTATTTAGGGTTAAATTTCTAATTCTACAATAGTTTGATTCCTAGATCTTTCTGTAGATAGTAGTTTAGTTCAACAATGAATAAGCTTAATTTAATTTTGGATGCATTTTTTATTTGCAAATTTACTTTAATCTGCATGCCATTGAGTTCATTTAGGATTTGTTAACTTTAATTCATGGTAATGTTTAAGCCTTTGTTACTATCCAAAGTAGATTTAGCAACTCGTTCTACAAGAAGGCATCCCTCCTTATTGCAAACCATCTAAAGGTGTAGATTTCATTTTAAATCAACATTCTTCCATCCATTTGCAAGGAGGTTGACTGCGAGGAAGGAGAGGGTCATTGGGGAAATCCTTCTTTCTTGTTTTTTAGCAAAGTAAGTTGCACGCCTACACCTAGATTTTGTATATGCGACATTGCTTAAGGATTTTTGAAGAAACAATCATTTTGTGGCATGCCCAGTGGGACCTCATCGTGTCTCACTTATAGTTTTTAGATCCATTTTTCCTTTATCTAAGAATAGGTCTAGTTATGCCACCAAAAAAAGAACACTAAAAAAGCTACCCACACTTTACAAATTAGGCTTGGTGAAGGCAGTCCTACACATTTAGAAGGAGAGAATGAACCAGTCATTCCACCACCTTCACCAACATTTAGGAAACACTCCTTTGTCAATCCAACCTTTAATAAGGATAATGACTTCAAAGATGATGGTGCTCAATCAAGTGACTCCCTTATGAAGGTTATGTCAAAATAGATTAGCATGATGCGATGAACACAACTAGAATTTGAGGAAAGAGCTCAACAAAAAAGCCAAGAGCTAGCTAGAAAACTCGATGAGTCGATCTAGAATTTGGTCCAGGTTGCAGTCAACATGCGATGTTTTACTGATGAAAGTGCAAGAGTTTGGCAAGAGCAAATTACAAAAAATCAAAGAGCTTTTCTAGCTTCAATAGAATAGATGCAAGAAGCATTTTGACTTGTTAGAATTGAAGCTTAGCCATAAGTAGCAGATCCTTATAAGGAAAACTAGAATATTCCAACTCCAACACTTAAGGGGCAAGTCAAACTGCCACAGCCACCCCTTTAGAATCGATAGGTAGTAGGTAGACCAGTGCAATTAGAATCAGTTGAAGTCACACAACATGTGGCAAAACTAGGCAATCTTTAGCAGCCTAGATATTTGCCACCTTAAATAAAGTTCACCCACAACATAATGCACTTCCACAAAAGGAGCAGCAGCGTAGTAAAATCATCAAGGTCTGCCAAACCAGTACATCAATCATGATTAGATCATTGATATGGTGCAAGAGGGTTATGGTCCAATTTTAAGGTCCTTGGTCAGACCAAATTACAAAAAACCATATCTAAATTTTATAGATCAAGATAATCCTTTTCCAAGGAGATTCAAGATCCCATAATTCATATTATTTTCTAGAGATGGTGGTTATTTTATAATTGAACACATAGGCTGCTTCACAATTCAATGTGGAGCCTCCAGTGATAATAATTTGAAGCTCAGACTTTTCCTAAGTTCTCTAACTGGTACAACCCTTACTTGGTATCTGAGTTTGCCACAGAATTCAGTTTACTCTTGGAAGCAGATGGAATATTTTTTCCATATCCAGTTTCATCGTAGTGAATTAGAAGTGTCTATGGCAAACTTATCTTATTTGGTGCAACGACCTAGAGAATCATCTGAAGCATTCATCGCTCAATTTTGGAAGGCCAAAATTAAGTGCAAAGTTGCCTTGCCAAAACAAGAGTTTGTTAAGTTGGCACATAATGGTCTGGACATCGAGCTAAGGAAGAAATTTGAGGGAATGGAGTTTTATGATTTCTTTGAGTTGTCTTATAAAGTTGCTCACTATGAAAACTTGCTACAGGAAGACAAACAAAGGAAATCTATGTCTCATGGGACTTACTATGAAGATGCTAACTTTGATTTGAATGTGGTAGAAGTGGTGGCAGACAAGCCTCCTATTGTTGAGGGATGAATTTGTATGGCTTTGAAATTGATGACGTGTGTGGCTCCACATCAACAAGGACCCACATGATCTATTTTCCACATCATACATGCTGTTTCTATTTTCTGCTAATTACTACAACAGAGTTAGCATCGCCAAGAATGATATTCATCAACTTTGTTGGAAATATTATAGACACAACTTGCTCCAACATCTATTTCTATATATATGGCTAGACGTGGCTATATCTATCTCCATGGCATGGTTGGGCATATTTTGACGGTTATGTCCCCTGCAGCGATATTCATTGCTACATCTTTTGGCTCCAATCAATGGACAACGAGCTATATCTACACAACCCCCAGTGATGGACGAAGAGCTAGATTTGCTATCTCATTTAGCCTTCAGCAATGGGCAAAAGGCTACAGATCTTTACATATTTCATTACACTGGCTTTCAACAACGGATAAAGGGTCAAATTGCTACATACTCATCTCATCGGCTCTTGGAAATGGATAAGGAGTTAGCGTAACTTGGTACGATTAGCAGGAAGCCAGTAACAGTTGCAACCCTGCAATTCGACAAAATGGTTACCCTTCAATGATATAATCCATCAAGTAGCGACCGGTGGTTCCTTGGTAGTCGCCCGTGCATGGTGGTTTGGTGCCCAACAAGCAACAACAACCAGGATCACCTTTTGACGGTATGAGGAAGGCAAGAAAGGCCAGTGTTTGTTAGTGGTATCACACCTTATTGTATTGGAGGCCAAGGATGTGGCTAGCGTCCCCTTTCCATGGAGATAACTCCACCTCTTTCTATCACATATTCATCGCTATGGCGGAGTCTAACTTAGTAAGATTTACCCTTTTGTGACTTGGCAGATTAGTGGGAGTGCTCTTTCAATTCCATATAGTTCACACTTCAAACATTAGCAAAGCTAGCCATTGTTACTCCTTTGGCTATGGGGAAGCTATTCATGGCTGACCCTGTGATACTTACATGGCCGATGGTCATGCACATAATTATTCTTTTACATAAAAAGGCAAAACTATCTATCGTTGATAATTTTGACTCATAATATATTTTTTTTATGTTTTACATGTTAGTAGGTATCGCCGATCAATGATGCTTGGCTCAGGAAAATGATATCACAGCACACACCCATATTACTTATTCCTTATTTTGGCACAATACTAGCCATGTACAACAACATCATACAAATGTTCGCCATGGCTAATGGACAAAAGGGTGCCTCAATGTTTATCCTTATCATCCCCTTTGATACACAAGGGAGTACCCTTTCTTGTTGCATATATTCATACATTTTACACTTAAATATTTGAATCTATACTCATTTATATTTTGCTTCCATTGTAGATGAACATAAGCCCATGAATCTAAGATCATGGGAATTATTCGGGATAAACTATGGGAATAGTGGCTTAGCAGGTGGATGGATGAACGTTGCCCATTTGGTGAAGCGAGGCATTCACACTAGCCAAGCTTAGAGTTGGTGATGTTGCCTAACTTGACCACAAAAAGTTGGGTGGCGAAGACGTGGAAAAGGACCTAATCCCCAAAACTACTCTATTTGATGTCTACTAGAAGTTTGAAATCCCGTTAAAAACTAACTGAAGATGTTGTTCTAGTCACCATTAGCAACTTGCAGCTGTATTTAATGCAAAGGTGACTGCACAAGTTCCACCACATTGGAAACTATTAAAAAAGATCACATTTTGCCTAAGAAATCCACTAGAATCCTGGGCAGACCTTGGGGAATCTCCAAAATCCTATGTAGGTTTTATTTTTACCGGTTGCATTCAAGTACCCTCCCAAAAATGGAATTTTGTATGATTGGAAGAATTACTAAAAATGGGCAATTTCCAATTTTTTGCTGGAGTTAGTGAAGCTTCACTAGAACCATTGGATAATTCATAATATTATTACCAAAAAGCTATCAATAATGCCAAAGCCAGTCAAAACTTGACAGTTCATCCACATTTACCTGTAGGTTGTTGAGCTGCTCTGGCCCATCAACAAAAAAATTACAAAAATGCCATTACAGACACACACACACACACATATATTATTTTTCCTTCATTTTTCAATAAAAGACAATAGATTTACACACCTCCAGCTTCCCTTTCATGCACCAAACTTCTACTTTTCCTATGAAAATTTCTTCATCCCTAACCTACCACCTCACACACCAAAATAGCCCAAAAATCACTATTTTCCTCATATTTTTTGCATTTCCAGCAATGCAAAATAATTTCCATTTTTGCAGAGTACCATGGCTGGGAGATACCATACTGCAGTTTTAGCTTCAAGGTAACTTTTCTTAAGTAGTAATGGGTCAAGCTACAAAGTTGGCATCAAGCCACTTAGCCTACAAGCCCCCAAATGATTATCCTTCCTTCTCTGATCACTACTTTCAAGTTTGTTCTTTTTTGTTCTTGAGAAAGCTTCAAAGGAGGGATTGTTGTATTTTTCATTTGCATCATGAGGTTTGTTCGTTATAGAGTAAGAGTGCTTGCTAGAGATAATAGAGGGCACATTTATTGTTATTATTATTATGTAACAATATTTTATGTGCGAATGTGCCTCTCAAGTTGTAATTTTTATCTTCATACATTCACCATCCTTGATATCCCTATCACAATGTATATCTTCTTTGTATTGATTTTGGTGGTTGTGTAATCATTCCTGACCCCCAAAATCCCATCGTTTTTGCTTAGTTCTCTCATTGGCTTGGTTGTAAAATTTATACTTATAGACTTTGTTGGAGAATTTGTTGCTAACCATCATTGCTAAGTAGAATGAGATGGCTCATGGCACGTAGCCCCTTTGAACATTAAACAAGTGTCGCCAAAAGGACCTTCCTCATTCTTCTCAGATGGCATCCTAGTCAGCCTCCATATCATCTCCATTATTGACTCACCATCCTACATCACCAGCACACCCCAACACTTGTTTGACCAGATTTGGTCAGAGTGGCCCAACAGGCTAATAAGACAATAAAACAATATATCGGTGAGGCTGGAAAGCAATGCATTTTTGACCTCTCAAAAACTACTGAAATTTTTGGCCACCTTAGAAAGAGTGGTTTAATTAAGTTGTCATTGGGACATAAAATCCCAATGGCTAGCAAAATTGGAAGTAGAGAATATTGTAAGTATCATAATTCTTGGAAATATTTTACTAATGATTATGTTATTTAAAGGAATTTTGCATTTTCTAGAAAAAACCAAAGAAACTATGGGAGTTGAAGCAAATCCATTTCCTAATATGTCTATGGGGGTGAACATAGTAGATCTCAGATCAAGAAAGCACATTTGATTAAACATCTCTAGAAAGGAAAGAACCACCTAAAAGTCTAGCTTCAACTCAAGTTTTGACTGTGAAAGCTAGTGAAGAAATTGGTTTGAAGGTGACATTTAGTGTGTCAAATAAAGTAGAAAGTTTATCGAATGTAATTCAATTTGGTATGTTTTTTGTGAATTTGTTTTTTTTGGTGCCTACTCCTCTGGTTTTTTAAGCTAAAGAACAGACAGAATCTATAGTCTATCAACAGACAGATCAGATTATTAAAGAGGGGATCATTCAAATTCCAGCTAAAGAAGATAAAGGTTGGGTTTTAGCTGACAAGATCATTTTTGAGAAGTTAAAAGAGAGGATGGCCAGACATATAAGGCTATTATGTATTCATGCACATTTGGATGGTTGTTAACGACCACTTAAGATTTCAAAATTTTCAAAAAGAAAAGAAAAAGAAAATGAAAATAAATGGAATTGTCACTTGTTCAAATTATAAGATGAGACAAGTCACCTAATAACGGATCTGCATAGAGATTGAGGCTCAGGGATTTAGTTAGAAGGAGGAAAAACATGCGCACCTCACAATCCTCCATTTAAATATAGTTGTATACTTTAACATTGTTTGATTTCAGCTCATTTATTGTATCTTTGTTTAGGCTTTAATAGGCAAACTTAAAAATGGATAGACCAAATTGTAATATCTTTAAATTTTTGGACTAAAATGGATAAAATCAAGAACATGCATGCACAATGACCATAAATAAAAAGTTAAATGGATTGATCCAATTAAATTCAAAACACGAAAGATTGATTTGAAAAGGTCTGAAAATTTTGGACTAAATTGTTGATAATGAAAGTTTTGGGTGAAATTGAAATAAAAAGAGAGAATTTTTTATTTTTTACTAAGATTAAAGAAAGTAGAGGATTATAATTAATTAATTATGATAATTAATTTAATTGAATGATTAATTTAACGTTAATTAAAATTAATTAATAACATTTATTAATCTCTAATCAAATTAAGACTAATAAACATAATTAATTTACTATAATTAAAATTAATTAATTTTGTTAATCACATATTAAACTAATTACCCTAATCAATTTATCATTTTATTTATATATATATATATATTTACCTTTTT